GGCACGCGCTCTGAGGGTGACTGAACAGGAGAGAGGAAGAAAGAGAAACGCGAGGCTGTCAGAGGACTCCGGCCCGCTCCGTCTCCATTGTACCGATATCAATCAATATGGACCGTCCTGCACAGGCACATGGAGTGTGTATGGGGGTGCCACTCCCCCCACCTCCTCTGATAGACACTCCCCCCTGACAATGCTCATTGGCCGGCTCTCATACTGATCCTCTGTCTCCCTGACCCGAGACTCGTGGAGCAGCAGACAGCCAGATGATGGACATTCTCCGGGGGAGGTCGGGAATGGCGGCCATGATGTCATCTGTGTAATAATCCGTCCAATCAGCACGCACAGCCCCACCCACCAGGAGCCCCCAGAGTGGTTGCTCTGAACACTGTGTCCCCGCTGACTCACCTCCAGGGTCCGGGGCACCCAACCTTTCCGGTGCCCATAAGGGGGCGGTTCCCTTCTGGATGCCACCAGAGCCATCTGCCGGGACTTCTGGGTTCTGATCTTCTCCTCGGCCTCCAGCTGGTCCTGGGAGAGCTGAGTGGGAGCCGGAAGGAAGCTGGAGAGAGAAGAGCCGCTCAGATCATCCGATGACATCACTATGACATCACACTGTGTGGCCTGGAGATCGCTATACAATGCAGGCAGGTCAGGGCCCGGCGGGAGGGGCCCAGCGGGCAGCTCAGGGCCCGGCGGGCAGCTCAGGGGCCAGCCGAGTCCTGTACATAGCTTCCTAAAAACATCCCAGCACCCTGCCTCAGTACTTCTGCCCTCTGCTGATACATGCATTGGGAGGAGTTATGCAAATATGAAAAAGCTTTAATAGGTGGGTGTCAGTCTGGAGGAGGGGGCGTTCCCAGGCAGGCTGTATTTGCATGCAGACCCCTCCCCCCAGGAATCACCAGCACTCGGTAAATAGTAATAAGTAGTAAACGTCCATTTATTTGGACAAGTCGTCACAGACAAAATATCGACGTTTCGGGGCCACACAGGGTCCCTTCGTCGGGGTGATAATGTGGCACCCACACGTGATGCTGAGCCCCCATGATTGGCTGAACTAAAATCCAATGGCAGGAGAGGAAAGTGCTAGATGATGCTGGACGTCCTCCAGCCAGAAAATGAGGCGGGCTCTATCTGGATTTGCTGCAGCTTCTAATGTACATTGCGAGAAGCTCCCAGTGTGCAGAGAAATCATTGGGAAGCTCACGTGACAACACAGGAGCACAATTGGAGGACAGGGACAGAGTGTTGTCACCCTATAACAGGAAGTCACGAACAAGGCCCACCATGGATACCGGGAAATATGAAAGCTGCAGATTTACAAACATTGACATTACTTCTGGGATCGATGAATATATATGAGATTCGATGGATCGGGTTCCCGTGCAGTGTGGGGGATGGTCTTGACGCCAAGTACATATGAGAGACATTGGGATAACGATGACACAGACCAGGCCCCGCCGGCTGAATACTACCAGGAATTGTTTACAAAGTGCACCTGTCACTTCCCCTCCACGGGAAGTCGGAGGGCCCTTTAAATTAAACCTCCCGGGCCCCATTCCGCCCCGCTTACCTGGAAAGCGCCATCTCGTCGTTTCTTCTACCCGCCGGAAGTGGCTCTGTGACGCGACGGAAGAGAAGCTGTATCACATGGCCACCGGAGATCGCCCCGCCTCACTTTCTGATTGGCCAGTCGTGATCTCTCTCTATCCTCATGAAAAGTATGAGCGCGGGCTAATTTGCAGTTTTCGAAATGTCTTCGCCGCCATTTTCCTGAAGTTCACCGCGCTATAAAAGAGAATAGGAAAAGGCTCAGACAAAATGGCGGCGCACAAAAGACATAGATTTCCATAATGATGCTTATGTAATTCTTTAGACGAGATTCAAATTCAACTTCTTTATTTGAGGTACGGAAGGATAAGAAAGTGTGAGACGGAAGTGTTTCTGCCGGAGGGAATGTGAATTGCCCGGAGTGCAAACACTGATGCGGTCTGCCATAGAGTTAGTCCGCCATTTTGTTGAAGTCCACAGTCAAGTTTCCACTGTAGAGCATATCGTAGATCGGGCGGCGTGATAGTGTTCTATCACAGCAGCAAAATATCGTCACTTCCAACACCCGTGACGCTGTACAAATGGCAGGAGTGGTTCAAACGGCAGATTGCACCGGTCTCGCAATGTCATTGGCGCGGAGTCCGCCATGTTACTGAAGCCCGTAGCTTGGTATTTCCTTCGGGACATGGGGCGCATGCACTAGATAATGTAGGCGTCTTAAAAGGGACGTAGCCAATCGCATCGCCTTCTCTCGTACCCTGCAATTTGCTGATGTGATCATTTAAAAAATGGCGGCCGCCGACGCCATTTTGTTGAATACCACCGCAGCCCATTAGATGGGCCTCTGCTGTTGTGACTTCTCGCTACAATATGGCGTTCAGACTCGCATCTCATGTGCAGCTCCCCTCCGCTTGTGTAATGTGATTTTCCCCAGCCCCGCCCCTTGTAGGCTGCTCCTCCCCTGTCCGAAGCTAAACGCGGAGACGCGCACCACATCCCCCAGGGTGCACCGCGCTCATCGGACCGCACCAGCTCGTACAGAAGAGGGGAGCCCGGACTGCAGGTAGGTGACACTGAGGAGAGGAGGACTGTCTGTGCTGCCCCACAGCAACCAACCAGAGTCTGCCCCTCCAGATGTCAGGGGGATGCTGGCTGCGGTGCAACACTGACAGTTCTGACTGCAGGCGCTGGACATGTTATTTCTTCATGTTATATAATGTCACGTGATGGTGTGTTCTGATTATCTGTCATTATATGTGTTCAGGGCGGAGGATCGATCAGGGCGGAGATTCTGCCCTCCCATCAGTCATTCCTCCGCAGGGGAGTGAAAGGATAAGGATGGCGAGCCGTGCCGATCCGTTCACTTGTCACAGTCGGGAATGAGATGACAACGCGTTTCGGGGGTTCCATACAAATCTGCTTCATCAGGGACAAAGCGTAATCCGAATCTCCTTCAGGTCAACATTTCCCTCATCGTTCCCCATCCATACGGCTTGGCACTCCTGTCCTTTCACTACACATAAGGCAAGGGGCCCCAGAGGTCTTCCACAAATGTTTACTGTGATTGGCTGAGTCAGTGTAAACTCCGCCTCTGAGGAGCTGTGTCTGATCAAAGCTCCTCCCACATGGGGATCTGTCCCTGAGAACGGACATGACGCTCTGCCTGGGGGGGGAGGGTGTTCTTATCAGATTATGTCATTCTAGGGGAGAGGTGACCCCCCCACAGCCCATCCCCCTCCGGGGTAAGACCCCGTTAACGCTGATCTCCTGTGTACAGGTCCCCGGATGGCCGGCGCTTCTCTCCGGGTCGTGTCGCTGGTCTCGGCCGGTCTGGCCACATCGGGGCTCTGTGTGTACGGGGCCAATTACT